CCAGGGGCCCCAGGGGGGAACTTCCATGCTCCATCCAGGCTGTCTGGACTCGCTATCCCCATGGATGTTTCCCACCTCTCCGCGTCAGACGGATGGGGCTGCGCTGGCTGCATCAGCTGCGGCAGGGACGGCCTCTCCCGGGGCATGTTCGGGACAGGCTTCCAAGGGAAGTGGTGGAATCACTATCCCTGGGAGTGTTCGGAAAGCGTGTGGATGTGGCACTTGGGGACATGGTTCAGTGGTGAACGTGGTGGTGCTGCTGCGCTGAGGGTTGGACTTGGTGATCTGGGAGGTCTTTTCCGCCCTTAATGATTCAGTGATTCGATATTTGAGCATGTCTCGTTAGGCTGATGAGCCTTTCGCTGGTGGGGGCTTGGGAATGCCAGTAGTTCCCATTCCCAGAGCAGGCAGGTCACCTATCAGGAGGACACCCCATGCCTTTCTCTGCCGTAGGTAAGGTGCATTTTTGCATACAACAGGAATTACTAATCCAGACAATTAGCTGGAATCTGGCAAGTTTGTGCCGCTGCCAATTTCCAGTTAATTCAGTTACAGCTTCATCTTTCTGTGGAAAGGAGCTGAAACATAAATGAGTTGATCTCGCATCTAGAGCTGCTGAGTTGGGTTTATGTGCATCCTTCTGGCTCAAGGAGGATCAGCAAGAAAACTGAGCCTTCATGAAGTCGTGTATTTATTCCACAACAATGGAAAAAGAGTAGTGGGGATAAACGGGGCTGGTGACTTGTTTGAATACGAAATATCATGAATCTCCCCTGTTATGAGCTGGATTTAAATCCCACTGTTACAACAATTACTAATTTTTTTGTCATAGTGTATGTTTAAAATGTTGCAGGTGGATTTGAAGCTCAGGGCTTTGTGGACCCACCAATATTCTGCACCAATATTTATATACATCCAGGATGTATATACACTGAGTTGTCACTAGGCTTCAGAATTAACCTTCCAGGTGCTGGCTAGTAGGGGTACAGTCCCCCACAGCTGCTTTTTGGGGATGTCAGGTGCTAGTAGCAAAGACCAAATTTGACACTTGGGCAAGGGAAGCAAGAGACTTTAACCTTTGGTAAGTGCTGCAATCTGAAATTTGTTCCTTTTGGGAACATTAACTTCCACAAGGCTGGAAATAATCGTGTCATCAGCGTGCCACGAGCCATCACCCTGTTGGCTCTGCCTATGGAGAGGGCTGCTTGCAGAAGCAAAAAGCTTTTGTTACAGCTGTTTTATTTTTGTGTGTGCCTTGATAGCTCAAAAATCACTTGCCGGCTTCCAGTCAAGGCAATCCTGGATGAGAAGCATCCGCTGGGATCGGCCTGTTAAGTGCATTTCTTTGATTTGACAGCAGAAGTGCCCATGGAAACGTCAAAAACCCCGACGTTTAGGCATGTTTCCAGCTTCATCCTCCCCTGCAAGCCATGGAAATGAGTGGCTTGAAAGCCAACAGCACTTGATATTAAAATAGCAAACAGTAAACATGGGCTCCTATCAATAACTTGGGGTTTGTCTTAAATTATGGTTTGGGGTTTGTCTTAAATAGACGCACGTTGCCATAGGGAATCAAAGTTTAGCATCCAGACGTGCTCAGCGGGGTGGTAGCGTCTTTGGACAGGGCGTAGTGTACTTTTATAGCATAAATTAAAATTAAAAAGGGTTTTAGCTATGTAGCAGTGCTGTTGTGTAAGAAAATTGCCAACTTTTGGGCTGAGACCGCGTGGTTTCTGGGCATCATGTGCTGTGGTGTGTTGGTGGATGGTGTTCCCGGGCGGCTTTGGATGGGGAGAGCGAGTTTTACCGCTCTGGGGCTGAACCCTGCCAGAGTTTTTCAGCCCTAAAACAAAGTGCAGAGGAGGCTTTGTGTGTGCCATGGGTAGCCAAACCGAAAGCAAAAATAAACACCCGCGAAAGCTGGTTTTTTTTTTTTGGTCGTTGACAGAAAAGGAAAGTGCCGGTGCAGGGGCGGGCGTGAAGTCCCGTGTTCATTACGCTCTGAATCTGGAAAATACATATTGTGGCACATGGCAGTGGCGTGCATGGCTCATTTTTGCATCTTCTCTTTTCCCCTTCTGATTTAACCCAAAATTGAGGGAGGGAAGCAGCACCCATCGGCCATCGGTTGTATGTTCATTTTTGCCAAGTTACGCCACTTTGCGAACGCGAGACACGGCCGGATTCCTGTGGCAAGGAGCCCTTAAAATTTCAACAGCTCTACCTATAAATACAGTCGCCGTGAAAGGCAGTCCAGCTTTACAAGAAAAAAAAAGCAACCACACTCTTTTTTTAGTCTCGCTGTATCTGCCTGACTTTAGTGCCATGCGATGCATCTCTGGCCGGGTAGTGAAGTCGAGGCAGCATGGAACATTCAGTCTCCTAATTCCTCTTGCTAATTTACGTGAGGAATGGGTGCAAGCAGAGAAAAAAAATTCGTTTTAGTTGTCCTGGAGGTTTTTGGAGTTGGGGTGGTGAGGTTGGGTCTTTGCAGCCTCACGGCCTTTGCAGAGGGACCTTTGGTGATTGCTTGGTTGCAGTTAGTCCCCAGGAGCTGCTGCGGGAGAGTGTAGGATGGAGTCTAAAGCATCCCTTTGGTGCAAAGCATGTCCCAGGTGAAAATTAAAGGGGAAAAAAAATAAAGAAAGAAAGAAGCTGGCTGCCACCTTGCCCCAGAGGTGTCTGGGCTCACCCGCTGTTCTCTGATGCAACCTCAACTGCCCAGGGAGCTCAGGGGCTGGTTTTGGACATGCCCAGGGTTGCCCAGGGACAGGCTGGGTACAGAATGTTCTTGGCGCTCCTCCACGCCAGTGGGAACCCCCACCAGCCCCAGATGGATGCCGTGGGGAGGTGGCCACTGTGCACATCCTGGTGGAGAAGACAGCACTACCTGCAGGGCTGGGATTTAGATGGAGAAGCTGCCAGGGAGGGTGGTTTTGCAGCACGGCGATGCTTTTCAACCTCTGTAGCCAGAGCAGCTTCGGCGTGGAGCCCTAGGTCACCTTGCAGTGCCAAAACCTGCTGGGTACGGTTGGGATGGGGCATGGGCTGGGAGGCGTGCGGGGGTGGGGCGGGAGAGCTCTCCGCGGGGAAGTGCTGCGTGTGCAGTTGGGCGAAGTGAAGTGCTGAGCCCGGGCTGCGCGGGAGCTGCAGACAGGCAGCGCACGTGACCGTCTGAATTTCAGGGGATTGCTGGACCGCTCTGCCAACAGCATCTCGCGGCTCATCGCCTGCGATATCGCTGCTTTTCCCACCACCACCATCCTCCTTCCTTTTTTTTTTTTTTTTTTTTGGTCTTTGTATTTCCTTTCCGCTTCCCCGCCCTGCCTGATTTCCAAGCCGAAGCAGGAGGGATGAACGCGGACACGGAGGGTGGCTGCAGCTGCACAGGGTTTGTATCCAAATGGGTTCCTGGAAGGCAAGTTTTTTTGTTGTTGTTGTTTTTCAGTCTTAAAAATATTTTTACAGCAAGTTTCTCACATCGGAGCTGTTTGGATGTCAGGTTTAGTTTCCCATGACATGGAGTGATTAGAGGAGGGAGGGGAAGGAGGGGCTGGATGCTGGTTTATGTGCAGATCTCTCTGCAGAGGTACCATCACCTATTGATGGTAAATGTGTTCCCTCTCATCTCTGCGATAGTTCTCAGAGATTTCCTCTTTTACGTCACTTCAGTTAATAAGATGTTTAACTTGGGAGCTGGGGGCGATGTGGCGTGTTATCATGTTGCAAGGAACACTGGGGATGACGAGTTCCCGCACAGACTTGTGCTAGGGAAGATCATATCAATGCTGTGGAGAACAGCTGGGTTTGGAGTCAAACCACTGCCTTTCACCCTTAATGAACCTGACCTGGCTGCATCTCACTCTTTTTTATTATGACCATGATTATTATTTCCCTTCTAATACTGAGAGAGGCAAATCAGTCCTCTCTGTCTGCTGCATTGTTGGAGTCAAGGGTCCACCTTGATTTTATTGAGCAGATTGTGTCTGCCTGGCTGGGCTTTGGCTCTTTTTTCCCCCCTTTTTGGGGACCCCTGAAACATTTCATGAGGGCACTTGATGACTTTTTTGTGGTGACATTGAGATGACGCTACAGGTGCAGTGGCTGCAGAGCCAGAGCCTCTTCAGGAAAGTCCTTGACTGTGCATTTTGAGTCCCATTCATGTCACTAGTTGATTTTAAGTTAAGAAAGCATTGCTGTTGGACACGCCTTGACCAGGAATAGCCTCCCTCCCTGCTACCACAGTTTGCCAGGCCAGCTCATCGAGAGCGGGCGAGTTGGTCAATAAATGCTCCGAGCAGCACCCTTGGGAGTTATAAACCAAAATGGGAACACTTGTGTCCTTCAGCCCCTCCTTCCTTGCCAAGTTGTTTTCTTCCCCCATCTCCTTCTCCAAACTGCCACTCAAACCCTCTCATTTCTGCTGTGTTTTTCCACAAATGTCTTTTGAACATGACAGCAAGGAGAAGAAAGCTGGCACAGGGCCACGGGTGCCACGCCATGGGGGGCTGATGCCTGTCAGCCCAACCCTTGCTTGTGGCTTTGGGGGCCCCTTCGTTTTGGGTGACTTGGCAGCTGCATGTGGGTTCACATCTGGCAGCAGTTGGGCTTGGAGCTGCTTCTGTCTGCCACCAGACCCATCCCACCTGCCTGCATCTCTTCTAGGGCTACCACCTCATCTCCGGGGCTTGAGTCAAGTAGCCCAGGCACGGTGACCAAGATGTCCCCATGGAGGTGTGGAAAGGGGAAGGGCTCCATAACGCTCTCAGGGCAATGGGGACATAGAGAGTTTGCAGATAAAGCAACCACAGCTCTGGTGGTGGCATTTTCCAACCTTCCAGCAGGACCTGTGGCTCACAGTCCTGCCAACACTTAAATGCTGACTTCCTGTCAGTGATTTTGCTTAATAACTCTTTTCTTTTTAAGACCAAAATGCTTCTTAAAAAACAACATGCCACCGGCACATTGGGATGTTGACTTGGTTTTTGAGAGGTTCACAGCCTCTCAGCTCAGCTTTTGTTCCAGGGAAGAAGCAACATGGTTGGATGCAATTTTCATCCCTCGTGGGAACAGGGTCTTAAAAAATAACCCTACCACATCCCAGCTCACACCCTCACACTGCTGGATGTGGGAGTTAATTTTTCTTGCTCCTGCCATGCAGAACAGCCCCTCTCTGTGCTTTTGCTGCAACCTGGGACAAGGGGAATTTCGGGTGCAACTCCAGGCTGTGATGGCTCGGCACATGTCCCCAAGCTGGGTGGCTGCCCAGGGCCCCCTTCATGTGAACGGGGTCAGCAGCTGGGAAATTGCAGAGCAAAGTGCCTCCCTGGTAATTCCCAGCTGCCGTTAAAGCGGCTTTAAAATAAATTCCCTCAAAGAGCAATTCCAAGTATTTGAGGGTTTGAACTTTTCCGGAGAAGGGTTTGGGAGCTGCTGGCTACCACGCTGCACCC